CCCCTGGGGGTCATGCCTGCCCCCCACCTGCCCACAGATTGTGCCTGCCCTGCCCACCCCACATGCGGGTCATGCCTTCCCTGCCCACCCCACCCATGGTTTACACCTGCCCCCCCACCTTACCTGTGAACCATGCCATCCCCTTCACCCCACCCACAAGTCACGCCTGTCTCCCCATCCCACCTGCAGTTCACACCCTCCCCCTACCTTTCATGGGTTGTGCCTCCCCTACTCCCCAGTGGACCCCCTGCCAGTCCCTTCCAGCCTGATGGACCCCTAACCCCCCTGCTAGCCCCTCCATCCTTACTTGATATTGGGCAGCCATTTTGATTTGATTTACTGCCCCCCTCCCAATGCCCCTGAATGTCTGTGCTTAGCTTTAGAGAAAGGCATTAAATAAATTTTAACTCCAAAGAACTGAGAAACATGCTGGAATCAAGAGAATATATGTCAGTTCCACTATAAATTACCATGCTTCCTTTTCATAAATTCTAGTTTTCAATAATTTATTAACCTTCCTCTTTTTTTAGTATAGCTAGGGGATGAACTACTCCAAGCAAACACCCTCTGCAGAAGTGTGTCTTTTTCATAAGCCCCACTCTATTTGACTAAACAAGTCAAAAGTGTCAGTATTTCAGTAACATACCTCAGATTCAGTTTACTGATGGCCTTAAGTGTCAAGTCACAGTTTAAAGACAGACCACACACCAACAGTCTGTTAATGCAGAAAGCAACATTGACCTGGCAAAATCCCTTCTGCCAAGATCAAATCACAAATCTGCTGCTTAGGAATCCCAGCATGAAACACAGTGAAATATCAGTGTTTGATTTGTGCAAAAAAATTATGGCTCCAAGATCCGATAAGTAAACTTTTTAGTGTGGCAGGCTTTCCTATCTTCGCCTGGTTCCTCGGGCTTAGAGAACTGTCAAAGCAATTGGTGGGGCAAACCCACCAATAAGAGACCAGCAGGGGGAGAAGCCTTTGGAGAAGTCCACCCTGCCCCTACATCGGGGCAAGGTGAGAAGCGGACCTAATTGAAGACAGAGCTCCACCTCCCCCAATCGGCCAGTCTTCACTCTTGGGACAGAGTCCCAAAAGTGTGTATAAGGAGCCACATGCACAGCACATGGAGGAGATGACGAGGGACAGAGAAGAAAGAAGAAGCTGGGGCTGAGGAAGAGCTGGGGAAGAGCCACCTAGGGGGCATGTCCAGTTGCCCTGAAGAGCCCAAAGACTCTACCATTGGACAGGAACAGCAGGTGACTGCGACCCCAATCCCTCACCACAAGACAGCGTGCTGCGCCAGTGTAGGCATCACTGCGTGAAGGGGCCACAAAGGACTGGGACCTTGGGAGCTGCTCAAGGCAGCTTGGGTCTCCACCCCTGACATGAGGCCGGATGGTGCATGGAGGGTCCACAAAGGACCGGGACCTTGGGAGCCACTTGAGACAGCTCGGGTCTCCAACCGCAGCACAAGGCCAGATGGTACAAGTGTCACTGCATGGAGGGTCTGCAAGGGAACCAGGACCTTGGGAGCCACTTGAGGTGGCTTGAGTCTCCAGCCCTGGCACATGGCCTAATGGTGCAGGCATTGCTGCACAGAGGATCCATGAGAGACCAGGACCTTGGGAACTGCTCAAGGCTGCTTGGTCCTCCAATCCTGGCACAAGGTCAGCACCAGTGCAGATGCTGCTGCATGGTGTGTCATCGTCAGACTGAAGGCCTTTGGAGGGGACAGGGGATGGTTCAGGCCCCATTCCCTGCTGTTGGGCGCAAGGGCCCATGGGCAGTGCAGGTTCCACAGCACAGCAGGCCTGTACTGGAGCCCCAGCCCTGGGCATACATGAGGTGGCCCAGGCCCACAACGTGCTGAGAAGGCTGAGCTATCTGGACATGTGAATGAGTCATGCACCCAACACAGGTCCTGAGACACAGCACCCGCTGTAGGAGCTGCTTGCTTAGCTGGGGATGAAACACCAGGAACCCTTGCAGAACCCTACTTGCCGGGAAGCGTGAGTTCTCGGGCAAGGGGTTTCCCCCCAGGGAGGGACACAGTGGATAGTCCCATCAGCGAGGGTTTATGCTAGAGAGAGAGACTCTTCTGCAGGAGGGGGGTATTTGTGATTACCATACATTTTGGAGTGTTTGTTAATTGCTTCCTGTGTCTTATATTTTGGAGTGTTTATTAATGGTTTATTGTGCTTTATATTTTGGGGTGCTTACCCATCAATTGTTGGGACATACTCTCTGGGGATCTGTGGGTGGGGTTTCTCTCATGGGTCTTGGGGGACTACTATACTTACCTGTTGTTAGTTGCTGACTCTAATATATTATATGTAAATATTTATCTTTATCACCTATCCAGTTTATTCTATCCCCTCCTCTTTTGTTCTGCACCCGAATAAACCACGTATATAGTTAAGCTATTGTGTCTGGGTCTTCCTCTATAGAGACACAGGAGAAGGGGAAGCTGCGAGCAAGCTGCAGTTTCCATCTCCAGCACACACGCCCTGATGACCCTCCCCTTCTATTGGAGAGGGGAGTACACACTCTGGTACACCCAGGTTACATTAGAAAGGTGTTAAAAACAACTTTGAGAAAATCTAATAGTCTTCTAACATCAACTACAGATTAAAGGTAAGAGCCTAGCTGAATGTCAAACTGATTTAGGCCTCTTACATCACCACCTATTTCAACCAACAGGCATAATGATTGTCTTTCTTTGCATCTAACTGAAGATCAAATATATAATTGTGCCTTTGGCCTGTGCTTGAACAGTTATTTTATGTGTTCATTTCTTTGCTTTCAGCTACTTCAAAAAATTTCGGTATTGCTCCTATGCTCTCCATGTCCGAATATGCACTCCATTAACAGATGGGATTTCATCATTTGAGGACCTCTTAGCTAACAATGTTCTAAGAGTATTTGTCTGGGTCATAGCTTGTGTTACATGTTTTGGAAATCTTTTTGTCATTGGAATGAGATCGTTCATCAGAGCTGAAAACAAAACACACACTATGTCTATCAAAATTTTGTGTTGTAAGTATATATTAGTGGTATTAATTTAAAATTGAAAACAGTCTGGTATATTATGTATATTACAGCATGTTTAGCTTTGCTTAGTACAGGGGTTAGCAACCCCTGACACGTATGCCAGAGCATGGCACTCAAGGCAATTTTGCTCAGTACACCACAGCCGGCCCAGGCTCCAGGCAGCTGCAGCCAGCCGCACAGCCCAGGCTGCTAACAGCAGGTGGCTGGGAGGCTGCAAGCCCTGCTGCAACAGCCTGGGCTCCATGGGTGGCAGCAGCTGTCCAGATCCCAAGCCAGCTGCAGGCAGGAGGCTGCAAACAGCTGCACTGGGCTCCTGAGCCCTGGCCAGACTCAGCGGTGGCTGCACACGTGCCTCAGGGTGGAGGGTGGGGGCGGCCTGGGCAGCACAAGCCCAGCCCCTCCTCCATCATCCACCACAGAGCCAGTGCCAGGGCTCCAGAGCCTGGTACAGCTGTTTCAAGTCTCCCAGCTGCCTACTGCAGCTGCCCAGAGCCTGGGCGAACTGTGGCAGGCAGCCAGGAGTCTGCAAACTACTGCACTGGCCTCCAGAGCCCTTGCCTGGGTTCCATGGCAGCGGCAGCTGCATGTGCACCTCTGGGCGGATGGCGGGGGAGGGGATGGGGTTGTGCTGCCCCAGGCCCCTCTCCCAACTGTCCACCCAGAGGTGTGCATGCACCTGCTGCCACCATGGAGCCTGGCCAGGGATCTGGAGCCTAATGCAGCAGTTTATAGCCTCCTGGCTGCCTGCCATAGGTGGCCCAGACTTTGGGCAGCTGCATTAGGTGGCAAGCAGGCTGCAAACAGCTGCACTGAGCTCCAGAGCCCTGGCACCAGCTCCATGCCAGCAGTGACTGTACACTTGCCTTGGGACACAAGGCAAGGAAGGGGCTGGGGCACAGCAACCCAGGCCTCTTCCCCACCTTCTCTCCCCCCCCCCCCGCCAAAGGGGCATGTGTAGATGCCACTAGTGACAAGGATTGGGTCCCTTGCGTCTGCCCTGTGGCCTGCCCCGGCATGCCAAATCAATTTGTGGCTCAGGGTTGGGGTGTTACTCTTGCTAAAAACGTTGCTCACCCTTAGCTTAGTACATTTATGTATCATGTACCAAGTATTAGCTTCAGAATATGTGTAATCTGCATTTGACTGTTTTTGTCCCATTTCCAGATATTCTTGGTATAATCAGAATGTTCCTCTAATCCTTTCAACTCAGCTGACCAAGATGTATGGAGAGAGTCTTAAAAAATTAGTGGTTTCACTTTATCAATTATGTTATTACTTTGACATTAAAGAATATACAAGGGTTAACTACTTACAGTGTTAACTACTTACTCTTTATGTATTGTGGTTTTTTGGGCAATCCCAGTGTGATTTATAAATTGCATATTTCATAATTAGGCAGAAGTTTATACTGATTGCAAATGAATGCACTGTATTTTGTCTAACTTTCAGGCTAGTAAGGTTCTCTCCTTGGCTCCAATAATCAAGGCTTTGTATACTCATTTCCTGTCTATATGCATTCTTCATAGTAGAGATGCCTGTTATTTACTGTTTAATAAATCCAGGCAGTGCCATGACCTAGTATGTATGGCATGATCACAGTCTCGCCAATCAAATTTCTTCTGATATCGCAAACACTGTGATATATACATTACTGCATACATCAGCCACAATTTGACCAACTCTAAAAAGAATTTTTTGTGTATACTATTTTTAACTTCTGCTTTCACTAAACTGTGAATTTTACTTTTCAAATAGGTGCTGATTGTCTAATGGGCGTGTATTTGTTCTTCATTGGAATCTTTGATGTTAAATACCGTGGAGAGTATAAAAAATATGCTGTGCTGTGGATGGAAAGCTTACCATGTCATATCATGGGGTTTCTGGCCATGTTGTCTACAGAAGTCTCTGTCCTTTTGTTGACATATCTGACTTTGGAAAAATATTTAGTGATTGTCTTTCCCTTCAGTAATATCCGACCAGGAAAACATCAAACAGTAATAATCCTTGTTTCCATATGGATTATTGGATTTGTAATAGCAATAATCCCATTTGGGGATGAGGACTTTTTTGGAAATTATTATGGGAAAAATGGAGTTTGTTTCCCACTTTATTCTGATCAAACAGAAGAAATTGGAGGCAAAGGGTATTCTTTTGGCATTTTTCTTGGTAAGCTTAATTTTTTTCCTGTGTCTAAACGACTAGTTTATATTATTTTTTTACAAAGTACAGCATTTATAGCATATATATTTTCACTTCAATTTTACTATTCATACTGTGTTTCTCTTAAAGAAAGAAAACATGATCCCAGGGTTTCAATTAGAGGGGAACTTGGGAGAGGAGGGGCTGAGACCCTCCCATAAAAGATGAAAGCCCCCCCACTAAAATTTGAAAATAATAACCTGGGGGAGGTAACCTTGGGGGGGGGTCTCCAATTTTATTAGGGCATTGTGGTGGGCAACCCAATTTTTTTGTGGACCTCCCCAAAAACTAACATGTAATTCAAACCCTGCATGATCCTTACACTGAAGAATTTACAATCTAATTTTAAACAAGATACAAGTGATTATAATAAAGAAAAGGAGAGAGATGAATGGTGGAGTGTAAATATGGTAACAATAAAAACATGTTTTGATGGTTCACTTTGATTTTCACTTTGATAAATCAGCATGATGGTTCACTTTGATTTTCACTTTGATAAATCAGTAACATTTTTTATCTTCATCTGCTACCTCATAATATAGAATCCAGCTGCAATAATACAAGAAATAGAGGATGAAATTGTGAAAGCAGAAAACCTTAAGTGTAAGCTAGTGGTAGAGAATGCTAATCACAAAAATCTATAAAATGAACTGGAAATAAGTAGTCATAAAACCTAAATCGGGACTTTAATATGAAATATAAATATACATGATTGGACAGTGCTTCAGAGCATCCTATTTAACCAAGGAAAGAGCATTATTCAAGCCTCCAGAAAACTACCTTACCCCTGCATCACATCTCCTGAACCATATTAATACATTATCAAATTATATACATTTAACAATTATCTGTAGGGGTTTTTTTATTTCGTGACTTCAAAATACACAATAATATAGGGCATTTGTTTGCCTAGAACTAAATCCTAGTTCCCTGAACCAAAAGTGTGAGGGCAATAAACTTGTTGAAGAAGATGTCAGATTCATGTAGCATTCCATGTGCATTACAGCCAACCAAACAAGAAATAAACTTCAGGCAAACACACTTGTTTGGTGCACATTTTGTGAGCTATAACTATAAAAAGACACAGTATATACTTGTAAGAGAAGACACTTCCTTTTTTGTGGTCTAGCTATTTCAAGCATTTCAGTTTAAAGATTTTTCCGTTTTCCTGGAACTGTGAAATTGACCGTTTGTAGAGAATTGGATCTCTTCCAAGGATGGCTTAGTGCCAGTTCAGATTTTAAAAAAAGACCTTTTTGTTTGTGGTTTTTGTTTTAGGCCCTGATTCAGCAAGATTGTGAAAGTATATTCATGAAGCATTTAAAAAGCCCTGTCAGTTTCTACAGTTTATAATTATTCAGGGTCTTATAATAAAGCATATATTTAAACACCATGCTAAATGAGGACTTTTATCCTCATAAAATATTTTTATTTGTATTCTGCCCATCTTGCAACCTTTATCTACTAATGTAAACATTATGGCTGCTTATAGACATTAAAAACAAAACAAAACAGCACTTTAATTTGAACTCAGCACACTTCTGCATCAAGTCCAGCACGTGTCAAGAAAAGGCATCACATTAGCTGGCTTGCCCAACTTTTGTATACATCAGGCACTTCAGTGTGGCACAAAAAAGCCCTGCTGAATCACCTGATCTGTAGAGATGCTGTAGAAATGGGTTGAACTAACATGCTGCTTCTTCCGGTAAAGCACATTTGGGGGGTGAGTTTAAACATCTGTAAACAACCCACGCTGTTAGTCTGTTCTCATGCAGATAGTAGGTTTGACATAGACTTTTCACTTTGGAGTCAGGAAGGATTTTTTTCATTAGGTCACACTGACCATGACTGTAGGGGTGTTTGCCTTTCTCTGTACATGACACCCTGAGCATAGATTAGCCAGTTACTCCCCTGTCATTGAAGTGGCAAGGTATTGGCAGCTTCCCCTGCTTTTACCTGTGGCATATTATAGTGTACTGTAATGTGAATATTTTCCTGCTGCTTCATAGGTTGCTATGAAAATTATTTTATTAAAATTGATTTGCCTATAAATAATTTATTAATATTAAAATGTCACAGTATTTATTGCCCTGAAAAATCCATTCTCCTCAGTTGCCTTATGTATAAGAATCTTCTTAGTATTTGCTTAGGAAATGTTTTTTCCAATTTTTTCTACTAAATTTATTTTGAAATCAAGTTAGTCTTCCACAGTGGGTGCATCTACGCGAGACTCTTTACTGTGGAGTTGACTAATTAGCTCCGCAGTAAAGCATAACCATTTGCACAGGCACTCCTATTAGACCAGAGTAAACTAATTAACTCCACCATAGGATATTACTTCCTGACACAAGTACTATTCTATGGTACAGTTATTTACTTCTCCACAACACATGTGTCAACAGTGACCGGGGCTGGCTGGGGCACAAGGATGCTACCTTAAGGGGGTGGCCTGCCAGTTATCTCCGCACTGTAACACGCTTGTGCCCCAGCCAGCCCCTCTGCAGCATAGTGAGCTGGGTGGGGAGCAGCTCCAGGCTGCCAGGATGACCCCCCAGACCTACTGCCAGTCAGGGCTGTGTCACCTTGGCTCAACATGCTGCAGTCCCAGGCATGTGTAAATGCTATGTTCAGGAGCAGTAAACTCCAGTGCAAGCTGTTGCAAACTGTGCTGGAGTTTATTGCATCCCACATTGATATCACATGGAGATGCACCCAGTGTGACTTTTACATTCACAAATATGTATGTTACAAGCATAGGCCATGGTTATAGAATTTACCTCCCTTGTTTGATAGGGCCACATATTCCTTTCTTGCAGAAAACAGCATGAAAAGAGCAGACACCCACACAGAATATGCAAAGAAATGCCACAAGAATTAGCACCGTAGCGTGCTAATTCATGTGTAGAACTCCTATTCACGGAACGTAAAGTGGACTTGGATAGAGATCCCACTGCAAAGAAACAAAACCTACAGTGATGTCAGTGGAGAGGAGTGTGTAGGCCAGAATTCCAGCACCCATCACCACTATGAGCACAGACACTAGGGGCATAGCATTTTAAGGTGCAGCATCTTGAGTTCATACACCATAATATATCTGTATAATACACCATAATATACCTGCATAACAATGATATGTGGCCCTCTACAGTTGCTTCAGAGCAATATCCTGTTGAGATCAGTTCCTAACCCAGCTTCAAAGGGCCATATAATTAAATTGTTTTAAAAGACTTGGTTGTAAAATCAGCTTTTATGTGGTTCTGAAAAATGGTCTAAACTGAATTTGAGCCCAGACAGACTACATTTCACAGATTTTTAGAAGCAACTGGACCACATTCTCCTCTAAATTGCAAATCTAAGTCAATGGTTTTTACTAAGAACAGAATTTGGTCCATTATTAGAAAGTCCTGCACTTAAAAAAACGGTGGGAAGCTTCTTTACACAGGGTATGAAACACATTGTACATCTGCTTTGCACACATGAGTTTTGCAAGGTCCATCCCTAGGGGAGTGTGAATTGGGGTGACTGCCCCAGGACCCCCACTTTAG